CATACATACATACATACATACATACATATGGTACTATACTATGTAAGTATGTATGTATGTATATATATATATATATTCTTCCACACACACACAACAATTATAATTAAATCATAAAGCTCACATCATTTATATTAATTTTCTTTTCTAAAGGTAAGTCATTGAATAACAAAACCATTTAGAAGTAGAAAGTTTGTCCAAAATATTTTGTATATTTAACTCAAATTGATTTTCTTGTAATCGACAAACAAATTCCCTTCTCTCAATAGAATATTTAGAACAGAATAACAAATCATTTTTTACTGTCTCTTCTTGAAAGCAATACTATTTAACCTTGTATGATCAAAACGTGATCTGGATATAATGCTTTCCTCTTCTCTATTTCTTCCTGTTCTCCTCATTCTACCAACTATTCTTTGAATAAAGCCACCTTCCAGTTCTATCCTCTTCGCTCTGCTTGTGCCAACTTTCCTTAACATTTTGTTTAACAATAGATTTAATTTCTTCTTTACTGAATTATACCAATATATCAATAGATCTATTTTTTGTTGCTTGTTTTGCACATTTATCTGCCAACTAATTTCCCTTTACTCCTATATGTGATGATATCCATGTAAAAAATAACTTTTAAACCCATTACCTGAATTGATTTTTGCAAAAAAAGGTATCTGGAAGAAAAAAATGCCTTGCAGGTGACAATAAAATGTTAAAGAGAGCAGCTCAGAGCATTGGTCCCACCTGGAGGCAGTGCAAAAAAAATCATGACTACAGCTGCCATACCTCTCCTTGTGAATTTTTCAACAAACCTAACATATTCATTCTTTCTTAAAGAAAACAGAGTTATAAGTTTATTTAGCTTTTTCCAAAAGTGGGATCCCAAGATAATTTCAGTGGGTCGTTAGATAGATTTGGAAGTTTTGTTGGAGATGTCAAAATCAGTCTGCTAATGCAGCAAAATTAATCTGAGAAGTTAATGTTTCAATTTTTCTAATCACATAAATTAGATTGTAAGCACCATCATATTTGACACAATATAGCAATAAATACCTTAATGTTCCTTTCTTCACTAAATGAAAGTTAAGAGTTACTGTCAGGCTTACTGATAGCATCCAATTATGTAGATTAACCAAAAAATGGAAAAGTGATGTAAGAGTTTATCCTTTTCTTTTCTCTAAAGGTGAAGTGGACAGTGCTGCAAGGAAGATTCAGCAGTTGGAGGTGCAAAACAGTTGAACACAGAATCAGGCAGCTGACCCTTAAAAGTCAGCAGCCATTCATTTTCAAATTTTGTGTGAGTGATGAGGACTACCGTTACTACAAAGAAGAATGGAGTAAATCATTTGCTTTCATTACCAATGTGGAAGGATTGCCTGCATGTTTGCTTTGGAATGAGAAATTTTCAAATAATAAAAGTAATTTGGAAAGGCATTTCCAGGGAAGGCTGCTAAATATCAAGCCAACCACCAAGCTGGGAGTGAGAGAAAAAATGTGATTGCAGAACTTCTGAATTAATTGAGAGCAAAGATAGATTTAAGAAGTCCAAACTTAAACACTTCTGCTAGTTTTGTGGCAAGCATGGAAAACCGTTCGCAGATCGAACAGGGGGAACTTTTATGCAGGTAAGTGTACCCACCCACCCCAAAAAAATATACTCAAAATAAAAATAACACCAAAAATCAGACTTTTTTTTATTGTGTTTCTATAATTCCATTTCAATCCATAGTGACATGATGTGACTTTTGTTCGAGGTTAAACATATAATCATGAATGCTTATTATATTTAAGCCCACATAGTCCTTTTTCTATACCGGCCTAATACACTTAGTGCCCGATCAATACCGCCAATCATTACCGATCAATATGGCAAAATCAATCAATTTTGCCATATAAGGCTCATATAAAACTTTTACATTTTTGTGGCTCCAGACAGATTTGATGATAAGGTCTATTATGGCTCTTTCATGTTGCTGACCCCTGGTCTAGAGGCTAACTATGGATGATGAAAGGAGTATTGGAGAGGATCATCAAAGCTTGCCCAGGCAGACAGCGTTGGAGTTGGGTAGAGCAGGCCGCTATGTTCATCATTTCACTTTTTTTCAATTAGAATCATAATTTGTGCTACTTTAAGGTCAATCATCCCCCCATGAAGCTCAGAGTTCAACCAAAGTGGTTTACTCTTTTAGTGCTACCTGAATGCAGATTTGTGGAGATTAAAAAGTAGTTTGTGCTGTATTGGGTTTTAAAATATCATTTTTAATTTCGACCAATGTTGCCACCTTTCGAGCAGACATTATTGTGCTTATTTCCATGTATAAATGAATTACATTACATAAAATGGCACTCCTGTATTAGCAGTGAATATAACTGTGTCCTTTAGTGGGTGGAATGATGGTTATACAATATTTAGTAGTTAATTAGCCTCAAAGATCTTTGGGTTTTGACCTGCCATCACCCCTCGCAACCTGTCAAACAAAATCTCATTATTAACAATTAGCAAATAAAAGCATCAATGAAATGCAACCTTACAGACTGCTGATGAATTGTATTTGATGCACAACTTTTGAATGTGCCTGGAAAGAAAAGCCCCGGAAGCACTAAAAGGTGTATTGCTTTGGTTCATCCAGGCTGCAGCTGGCCACCGTCTGTACTGGAGGTAAGGGAGGATGACGAGCAGTTTTTCTAGGGTTGAATTAAAACTGCTTTTTTAAAAGCCAACTAAAAACATCCTAAGATCATTCCTAATATCATCCTTTGTCAACATCATTTCCTCTCAACTCCTATTTGACCTGTAAAAGCTTCATCACCGCTCCGCTTCTTCATCCCATCTAGCGATTCTGATTGGTTATAGAAGCTGGATTTCACAGAAAAGTGAAGTGAGGTCACCGCTCTGCAGACTTGAAAAGAAGTGCTTGTTTAGCAATGGCAAACAATCATATTGGGTTGATTTTGCTGTTTTAATTAAGAAACACTTTCTCAGCAAAAAAGAAAACACACTACATGGTTAGTGTATATCAAACACAAATTTAATGTTATTCTCCCACCAATTTTTGATTTCCCACAGATTTAAACCCCCAGTTGAGAAAAAAAAAAACTGTCACCCCAAATAATAGACTTTGAAACCTTACCAGCACACTAATAAATTCAAACGTTTTGTAAGATTTTAGACATTGTATAAAGCATATTTTTTCGACTCAAGTTATCTCTTGGAAGTCAGTAAATTTACATATGCTTATCCTTACAATATTACCCTCAACATGCCCACATGGAGTGAAAAAATGTCCTCTTAAAAAGTGAAAAAGTAAAACTTTCAACAAAAAAAACAAAAACAAAAAACCAATGAAGTCAGTAAAGGTGAATTCAGACCTCACAGTAAAAACAACTGATTTTAAACTCATAGCAGTACAATGGAGGCAGACTTTTTTTTTTTTTTTTTTTTTACAAACGGCAGATTTGTAAAAGGGCTTTAAAGGATGGATCTTATGCAAAAAACTTTTATAGCATGACAAGTTTTCCCACAATGGTCAGTAATGTCAGGTTTCACATTTCATATAAATTCCAACAGAATATACTCAATTTAGTGCTCAATAGTGCTTTTGGATCCAAGAAATTAGAATTTTCCAAGCAAATTTAAACTACTTATCATATTGTTATTGATTCATGCCAGAATATTAAGTACATAAAATATTAAGTAGTACTAAGCAATGAATAAGGCATGTGAACATTTCATAGATGGGGTTTCTCAGCATAAAACAGTAACATAAAACCACAAGTAGTTATGTGAATTTTGATTTGTCTGTTTTTTCTTTTAACACTGGAACAACCCATTGGTGGTAATTGAAGCTGTAATCAAGCTACTTTTAGATTTAAATTCTTTTACACCAGAGAAATTATGAGCACAATGTTACTGTCAAGTTGGTTTATAATGAAATGAAATACTTCTCAATCACAGCATCCATAACTTTCTTCATGTGATGTTCTGTATTAAGTAAAAATCTGATTTTACATGGTTCTTTAAGAGCGGGAAAATATTAAATGGGAAATATTTTAGACCAACTTTGCTTTCGAAAACCAGAACTATGTTTCCATTTAGCAAAAAGAAACAGAAAACATTGGATGCCTAATAGCAGTTTCTGGCAGTAAAAGGGCTATTAATTCAAATGCTTCTGTAATGTTGGTTATTAACAAGAATCTGTGGAAAATTCTTGTTATCAACTTTTTAATTAAACTCTTATTGGCTATTTTTATTTTGATATTTGTCCAAACAGCTGTGTTTTTTCTCCCATCCGACATTAGAATGAACAAGTAATGAAACAAGGATGAAATTCCCCCCCCCATGAGTGTATACAGATCCAAACCTTTCTGCACACTTCGCCTTAGTCCAATCAACACCTATGCTCAGCTTTTATCAATATATTTACAGCATTGAAGCAAGCTTTCCCCATCAACAATACATATTTTTCATTGAATTCCAGTGAATTTCTTTGAAAGTAACATTTTAGGTGTTTCTTTTAGCTGGTTTAAACTCTTAAAAAAAAGAACCCACCAAAAACATACACAATTGTACAGTGAAAGTTTCTTATTTCAGGGCATCAAGTAGCAAGTGAGAAGTTCCTTGATGCCAAACAAAGGTTTGAAAATGAAATAACATATGGCAGTTTTCTATATCACAAAACAAACATTTCTTTGGGCTGTTTCAAACATGTTAAGCATTAAATGGTTAAATATTAACCATATAACTGTATCAAAACTGCAAACTCAGGATTCTGACAACAAAGTGTTTTGGGATGTTTCATCCAGAAAATACCGGGGTGAAGATGGGCGAACTGCTGAAGGTTTCAGTCATTGATCAGAGCCAGGATCATGCTGGAAGTACATATACATATAAAAATGATTAACATTAACTTATTAACATAATGGTATGAGACTAGGGCTCCACAATATCAGGAAAACCTGACGTGTGTTACCTGCCTAATATTGCAATAAGGATATTACTTATAATATATGAATGGATACTTACAGGATTCACAGTGCATCAATTCTTTCAAATGTAAGCCTTTTGCACATTTTACTTTTTTTTTTTTACAAACAAATTCCAAATCTATGTGATATTATCCCTGAACCTTTCATAAACAGATGTTGGAGGTGACAACAGAGAACAGTTGTGTTTCTCATGTTTGCCACTATTGCTCAGTATATCTTAACGTTGATAAAGTGTATGCAGCTTTTTGCATTATGCCAACTACACAGGCTGTTACAGAGATGACAATAACTATCCATATATTGTGCAGCCCTAGATAGGATACATTTTTTTTACTTTAGAGTGTTAATGTGTGTTACCTGTACAAATAAATGAAGAAGCAGAGCAGGTGGTATCCTAGTTTAATCATGGCTTCCTTCATGTATGATTTAAGTAGACCCCGGTTGTGGATTTCAGTTGGGTCAAAAACACCCATGTTTCCCATAGGAATTTTCACATACCTATAAAAATACAAGAAGAATCAACAGACAGCTTTATTACAGCGTGAACAGGAAAAAAAAAACAGTACTTCTTTACTTAATAATAACATGCAGCTCAAGGACAGGTGCATCTGAATAAGATCTCATTAAAATTCAAAGTTGTCCAGATGCAAGTTGACTCAGCTACATTATGTGGGATTTTTGGTGAATGCCCTGTACCTGACTGGATTTGCTGATGTGAATGTAAACAAAAGTTAATGTTGTTTAAATGCTGCGAATTTTGCTTCCCTTGACACTAGAGCCACTCTAACCCGGGTTTCTCCACCCGCTACCTGTCAGCTCTACTTTCTGGTGCATGGTGCTGAGAATATAGACAGTTTTTTTCTCTTTTTGGGTGCATACAGGGTCAGCAAAGCACTGCTAGATGTGAACACCTGCGTGCAGAATTCAGCGTGTCCTGGAGGAACTTTAGACCAGCTGTTTTCTTCCCAGGACCCTGTTCGCCAGTGACAGTGATGTAAAAAAAAAAAGTCCATTGTGAACGTCCTGCCCATTAGTTTTATGACCACATTCTCTGATTGTCGCTGTAGGATGAGTTGGGTCTTTTCCCAAGTGTTGAATGTATATCTGACAGAGTTTTGCCTAAATATGTATTTTCCATTCACTTACATTGCATAGCTGTCCAGCGCAGCAGTTGGGACTTTATCTATGGAAGACAATAGTTTGGAACACTAAATAACTGGGCCTTCAACTCTCTCTATGTATATATTGCCTTTTTGTTGCTGCAGTCTTCAGCAAACAACTGATCACAGCTAGTGAACATAAGATGTTCTGCGTGATTATTCGGCTTCAGGTTACGAGAGATTGCACCCAAAATGCAGAAAAGGTTGTTATTCGGACCATTCTGACAATGCAGGAGAACCGCTGGGTCTGGGTATACTGTATAAGCACATGGTCAAAGTGTTGATGCTGCAAGTGCCGATAATTAGGTTAGCAGCGAAGACCTATTGTGTTTTGAAAGTTTCTCCGCTGCCTAAGAATGGATTTTAGGGTGCCTTAACAAACAATGAATAATTTAACGGAATCCAACTAACCTTTCAAGCAATTGAAAAGGCAAAAGTTTTACAAAACAAAATCAAATTCAAATCAAATTTGGTAGTAATGAGCCCCTTAGGTAGCCCCCAAAAATAGCTGATCAAATGACATCTTTAAAGCCCGCCCCCTGAGGGAAAAAAAGTCACTTTTTTTTACGTTGGAGGGTCCCTTTCTGTCTAGGTCAGAAGGCAGAAAACACGCTGGTCTAACTACGTCCAAGGCACAGTTTTGGTTAAATATGCCAAAGTAAGGCACTTTGCATTCCAACGTAGATCATTCAATCCATTTTTTCTGTGTCATCTTTGAACAGAGACAACCAGATTTGAAGATATCAGTTTATCCCGCACCCTGAGATCAGGATGTCCCATGTTTCACTGTTGGAATCTCCTGCTTTTCTCTGTGTGCCATTTGGGATAGGAGAGGGCTAGAAATGCTGTCAGGAAGGTTGAATTTAGGCCACATTGCCGTAGGCGTGGGGATGGCGTGCACAGATCCCGTGGTCGCAATAGGCTGAGAGGCGCTTAGCTGCGATGACCACCCAATGCTGCTTGCGGCTTTAATTATGTATTGACATTTTAATTTTCACCCTCACATAAATATAGTGAACAAAACAGCAAGTAGTTTATCAAGTGTTTGTGGCACTGATTATGCATGATGGCAAAATTGTGCTATGCATGCGCGTTACGTTGCCACCACTTCGTGAGACCAGATATCCCTGCACAAATAAGGAGAAAACGGAGAGGCTGCAGGGGTTGCAGGACGAAGCGGAGGAAAAGTTATTTACCATTGGTTGTCATGGGAAACGTAAGATCTGTCCGCCACAAGACTAAGGAACTTGTAGCATTAACCCGATTTCAGAGGAGGTACAGGGACGTTAGTATCATGCACTTCATTGAAAAGTGGGTAGATGGATTTGTCCTATTTGTTTCCCTGGACGGCTTTAAACTCATCAGCACAGATAGGACTTTTTGGGAGAGTGAAAAAAAGAGAGAAGAGGGGCTTTTGGTGTTTGTGAGTGAGAGATGGTGAAACACGGCTCATTTTCAGCTGTAGAGGTGGTCAGCAGCACCAAATTCCTGGGGGTGAACATAACAGACACCCTCACCTGACCTGTAAACAAAACCTCACTGGTCAAAAGGGCACAAAAGCGCATGTACTCCCTGCAGAGGATGAGGAGAGGATGCCTGCCCCCTCCCATCATCACCACCTTCTACAGAAGCACAATAGCGAGTGTTCTGACCAGTTGTCTCACTGATTGGTGTCGAGGACTCAGACTGTAATAACGTGAGGAGAGTTTTGAGAACAGCAGAGAAGATTACATCCCAGTACTGCGTGTCACTAGTCCTTAACATCATCATCAATGACCAGATGAGGCCACCGAGAAACAGGGATTGTTTCAGAACCACAGACTGGAGCATGTTCCATAGCTCTCATGGTGATGACATCAACAGCCTGACTGAATGCATCACTGACTACATGACCTTCTGTGTGGAGAGCACTGTGCCTACACGACGGCTATGAAGCTTTCCAAACAAACACCCCGGGACGACCCCTGAGCTGAAAGTACTTCTAAACCAGAAGACAAAGGCTTTCGACTCAAGGGAAAGGGAAGAGCAGCGCAGAGTTCAGCGAGAGCTCCAATGGAAGATCAAGGCGGCAAAGAAGGACCATGAGAGGCAGATGGAGGAAAACTGGTACAGAACAAAGTCAGAAATGCATGGAAAGGTCTCAAGGACATCTTTGGGCAGAGGACCAGCAGGCCTGCAGATGATGACATCAAATTTGCAGACAAGTTTAACAGGTTCTTCACACTGGGCCCCCTCCCTGTCCTCAACTCTCCCAACGTCTTCAATCCCCAGGCCACCAGCGACCTCACCGCCACTCTCACAAACCCCCACCCACCCACACCCTCTGTCCTGCCTCGCTCCCCCTTACAATCACTTCGATGCAGGTAAGAGGTCAGCTTCGGTGACTGAAACAGAGGAAAGCCTCAGGACCGGATAGCATCTCCCCCAAGGCTGCTGAGGACCTGTGCTGATGAGCTCTGTGAGATCCTTAGCTACATGTACAGCCTGAGCCTCAGCCTGGGGGTGGTCCCCACCCTGTGGAAGACCTGTGTGGAACCGGTTCCCAAAACGCTGCACGCAATGGAACTGGCCCAATTTAGACCAGTCACTCTGACCTCCCACCTGATGAAGACCATGAAGTGCCTCATGCCAGCTCACCTACGCACCGTGGTAAGCCCCACCCTGGACCTTCTGCAGTTTGCTTACCGACCTGACATTGGAGTGGAGGATGCCATCATCAACCTGAGTGGACGCTCGCCCACCTGGAGACCACCGTGAGCGCAGTGAGTCATGTTCTTTGACTTCTCTAGCGCTGTCAACACAATGAGACCTGAGCTGCTGAGGGGAAAGCTGGAGGACACTGGAGTGGACAAACATCTTGCTGCCTGGACCATCAACTCCCTCACTGACTGCCATTAGCATGTGTGGCTGCATGGCTGCCAGTCAGCGGTGGCAGTCTATAGTACAGGGGCCCCACGGGGTACCGTTTCGTCTCCCTTTCTCTTCACCCTCTACACCTCGGACTTCACCTACAACACAGACAGCTGCTATCTCCAGAAGTTCTTCGATGACTTGGCCATTGTGGGCTGGATTTCTGAGGGGAACGATTTTGAGTATTGATCGGTCATCAGAACTTTTTGGACTGGTGTGAGAAGAACCACCTGTGTCTTTAAACCAGTACGACCAAGGAGATGGTGACCGACTTCAGGAGAAGACCCCCACCTCACTCCCCCATAAACATCCAGGGGCAGGACATAGAAACTGTGGAGAGTTTCAAATACCTGGGTGTTCAGGTCAATAATAATAAACTGGACTGGACTCACAACACTGACGCCCTGAATAAGAAGGACCAGAGCCGCCTCCACCTCCTGAGGAGGCTCAGATCCTTTGAAGTTTGCAGGCCCCTGCTTAAAACCTTCTAAGACTCTGTCATGGCATCAGCCCTCCTCTACGCTGTCATCTGCTGGGCCCCTGGCAGCTCTGAGCGGGACAGAAAGAGACTGAACAAACTGATGAGAATTTCCTGTGCTAGGCTGCATCTCTGGACTCAGTGGATAAAGTGACTGAGAGGAGGGTGCTGTCCAAGCTTCCATCCATCATGGACAACACCTTTCACCCCCTTCACCAGACTGTAGAGGAGCTGAGCACTGAAAGACTTTTACACCCTGTTTGTAAAAAGGAGCACCACCGCAGGCCATTCATCCCTGCTGCAACCAGACTCAACAGTACACTAGAACGGCAATAACTTATGCGATGTGTAATGTACAATTACTATTTGATATCCTGTGGAATAACCTGTTTTATTTTAGATTTGATAACCAGTGCAATAATCATATATATAAATACCCATTTAATACCCTGTGCAATAACCCTATATAATAATCCTGTTAAATACTCTATTTATTTATATATATGTATGTGTATGTGGACGCACCGTATATTCTGTATGTACCCACATGCACCGTTTCCTCCATTTGGCAACTTCTTTTTGACTACTGAGCAGTTGTAACAAGTGAATTTCTCCACTGTGTTATAAAGTCATTCAATCAATAAAGTTGGAAGATAAATCGCAGCAATATTATGTTTTTTGTGATTGTTTTAAAAAATCTTATCTCTTCTGAGAACTTTGGGTGCAGAAAAAAGCTCATATATCAAAAGGAAAGTGGATAAGCTGATTTCTTTTCCTCGTTCAACAGGTCTGTGAATAAAATCCCCAAGCTTCTTTATGCTTCTGATTTCTAAAATTTCAAACGGGGAAGTTTAGCTGATGTCGAAAATGTTTATCACGTGCTTGTACCACTGAATATGTAATAAAGTTGGAAGATAAATCTAAATAGATATATTATTTTCTATTTGAGTTTTTATTTTTTATCTAATTCTCAATCTTGTGTGAAATATGCTAAAAAAAAGTTGTTTGAAATTATTCCAGTAACCAATCTGGTGACCTATATTTAATTACAAATGTTTTCATATTACAAATATCCACTAACACTTTCGACATTTATGTAAGAAAAGGGATTAATCAGTTTGTTGAGGGGACAGGAGCTTCAGGAGCTTACCTGAAGGAGGTTTAGTGTTACACAATAAGAAAGGTAATTCTAATAAGGACTGGCAAACCGCAAGGGACTGACGCCACACATTTTCTTTGCAGTTTGCTAGTGTTAGGTTGCAGGTGCTGCAGTGATCAAATTTTTAAAGAATTTACCAAAATCTGGCCATTCACCATGATCCGGGGGGGGGGGGGGGGGGGGGG